GCAAATTGTGGATGTTTGATGTATGTGATTATTAAAAATATAAATTAAAGTGAAAGAAACTAATTGCAAGGTTTTCAGTTTAATATAGACGTGGATCTGAAAATAAGAGATAACTATTGAGCTGAGAAACCATTCAATCAAAACTGCGCGAAATAATTTTCAATTTGTGGTAGATTTACAGTCATAACAAGCTGTTTTCAGTTGTGATAGGCTTAGAGTCATAACCAGGGTTGCCTTAAAGAAAATAATAAACACTTTGTTCGACGTGCTGACGAAATTTCAAATGACTGATCAAATTATTCCCGCTGTACTTGTAGGGCTATTAATCATTTGCAACTCCGGTTTTATCGAAAATTACAAATAAACATGTACACGAGTTGTTATGTAACTGAAACTACATACATACATACATAGGTTGACAAAAACAAGCTCAACAGTTCAGGAACGACAAAAGCATTTGCTCTATAGGCGTAAATAGATTCATATATAATTAGGGATGGTGTCACTAGGTCACTCAATATTTTTAAATTCGAAGAAGGTTTTTGTGAGAGTGTATTCCTTACTTTTATCCTCTTCGTCTTTGTTCAGTAGGATTCTGCAATATTCATTTTGATATTGACAAGCTTATACATGTAATTTTTGTTTTTTCTTGGTTAAACTGCAGAATGATTCTTTAAAGGACATCAATAGAATATAATTATTATGTTTTTCATTTAGATCTCTGGAACTGTCAAAAAATTTAGAATTTTTTTTGGCCTAAAGTAGAGTTTAGATCCATAAAAAGATTATGCAATTGGTAGAATAGTGAAAAAATAGTTGTTTCGCTATCGAATCAGTTTTACGTGAAATTTGAACTGTATCTTCCGAGCAAAACATCTAGTTTTCTACTAAACTAAGTATGATTTTATATTATCATTGCAATAGTTTAAAAATAATTTACTGCTAATTATTTCTGCTCTTCTGAAAAGTTAAGCAAATTTTTAGAGCTCTAGACTGGCCTAACTCCTAAAAGACACTAAAGCTCTGAATGTTACACGTGCTAAAAGCATTTATCAGGAAGTCCGAGTCACAAATTAATGAAAAGTTTTCCTCTTTGCAAACCTCAAGAAAATGCTCAGCCGAAGTTCTTACTGAAAAGTTAGAAGATTACTATGCTCGGTGTTATAACGAATAATAAAATCGAACATACCACGTTTTTATACCCTGAACAGGATATATTAAGTTTGCCACAAAGTTTGTAACACCAAGAAGAAAACGTCGGGCACCCTATAAAATATATTTAGCCATGGCTGTCTGTCAGTATACATATATACTATGAACTAGTTACTAAGGCATAGCTACAATCTCCGAGGAAAATGTTTAGATCGGAGCACTGTAGCATATAGCTGCCATACAAACTGAACAATCGGAAGAAAGTCCTTTTGTGGGAAACTTTTCTATTTGAAGTAATATCTTTACGAAATTTGGCGTGAGTTATTTTCTAAGGCAACAACTTAAGCTCCGAAAAAATTATTTAGAGCAGATCACTATAACATATAGCTGCCATACAAACTGAACGATCGGAATCAAGTGCTTGTATGGAAAACTCTTTCATTTGACGGGGTATCTTCACGAAATTTGGCATAGATTGTTATTTAAGGCAATAGTGCAATCTCCGAAGAAGTTGTACAGATCGGATGGCTATAACATATAGCTGTCAAATTAACTGAACGATCGGAGTAAAGTGGCCGCATGGAAAACTTTTTTATTTGACGAGGCATCTTCACGAAATTAGATTGGAATCAAGTTATTGTAAGGAAAATTTGTATCTGTGAAGCGTATTATAGCTTCGGTGCAACCCAAGTTAACGTTTTTTCTTGTTATCAATTTAAATTAGGTAGTTTTAGCACACGTACATATGTACATAGATATGTTTATATGGAATACATAAATTGTTTTACATATAATGTATATTCGTACCTCCATTCATACACACTATAAACAAAGGTAGAAGAATTTCAAGATGTGGAAGATCTATGGCGTCGGTGGAACATTTTTCTTGATCACTCTCATTTTATACCAAAACACTGCTGTAAATGCTTTTCGGTTTTCCATTAAGCGCATTAAATTTCCGTTGTGAGAAAATTTTGCTCCATAAACACTTCAGCGTTTATTACCGACAAGAAAGAAGCCGATTGCTACGGCATTCGAGCTGACTGGCAGTGGCGACGATGGCAAGAGTAATTGGGTATGAGCGAAATTCTTGGCAGAGAAAAATAGAGGATGTTGTGAGCTAGCAATGTTGTGGTGGCGCTCGTGAGTTAATACGACTGATGATTGGTGTCGATGTGGAATCCATAGCGGTAAATGTAGCATCCTGTATTATATTCTTACACACCCGATTCTCCATCTCCTTCCAACCTTTCGAGGCATATCGTAAATTCTCGCATGCATTTTGGGTTTAATGATGCATTTACGATGCAAACATCAACGCCATCGTCGCATGACAACCACAACCGAACCCCAAGGATTTTAACACAAGTGACGCTTACAGTAGCTTTTCCAGTAAACAAAAGGAGAAAGACAGTAATCGTTACAATTTTAATATCATCAGAAAACTGCAGCTGATGTTACTACTAGCCGATTTTGGTGAAAACAGTTTTAGAGAAAAGGGTGCTCTGACTAAGGCCTGGCCATAAAATTTATAGATATTTTTCTCAGTGGCTTTTAGTTGGTTGCGGAAATTCATTCTTGAATGCAATCAAACTTTCTTTGCAACGCACCTGAGGTTTTGTAGTTGACACACTAAAATGTTCGCGTCTTAAATTTCCCAATACAATTAAAACATTGAGTGAGCAATAATTTGAAATATGAATACAAAAATTATAGCGCCATATACATACATATGTATATAATACATTTGTATATACATTTGTATGTATATATATATACATATGTATATAATACAGTTGTATGTATATACATGTATGTATGTCTGTAGTTTAATTGCGTGCTACCATGTGCCTTAACTGACCTAACATAAATTAAATATTGTCTGCGACAGGATAGTGCAGTCCCAATAAGTTGTGCTTGTTTGCCGTTTCTTTACTCTGATAAGACAATCTCTCCCATATATTTTCTATCTTAGCACATTTTTCCAAAAGCTAAAGAAAAACAAGGTCCGCAACTATACACCTATTTGTGTGGAATCGAAAATTAAATATTCATGGAAATTGTAAGAATTTAAAGAAAAGAAAATACGATAAATGTCGCCAAATATTTATAATGAAACAAATAAGGCAAGTGTGAAAGGATATGTTCATAATATTGTTTAATATACATGGTATAAACCATAAATATTCTCAAAATTACTACTTCCGCAGAGCTTATTTCCATTTTGCGTAATAAATTGAAATCAATACTGAAAAAAACCGGAAATTTTAAAAGGTAAAAATGGTGCGTCTTCACCCGTAGCATTTTTAAGTGAACTTTGATGCAGGAGAGTGTTTTATTTCGAAAAATCTAAATTTTAGTTAAATATATACATAAATATTTTTTATTGCCTTTGATACTTTATTATAAAATAATATAACGGCCTTACCTCTTATTTTATAATAATTTCAATTATTCTCTATATCATAAATGCTTAACTAAATTAAAAAATCATTGTTCCCTACTATTATATTTTTGAAGTATGATGCACTATGGAAAACTGGAAATATGTCGAAAGAGTGAATCTGTATTAAAGTACTTAAGATGGAAGAATTTTACGCAGAAAAAATATACACTTGGATAAAAATAGTTCAAAAAACGATCCTTTATCCAATCGACTACAGTGTAATAAAAACTATAGATTATTAATTTCTAATAAGTTTTCCATTACGCAAACTGATGATACTGAGTCGCAGTAAAACTTTCACCGCGGAGGCGTTTTTTGACCAAGGGAATTTTTTTTTTTACTATAGATATATAAATTTCTATATTTTATTGAAATTGCTTTCTGTAATATAGCTGCCTTAAAGAAAACATATTAATAAATTTCATTCGATTTGCAGCAATAATATTTTGTACCCCTAAGCATATCCCCCATATATATGTATTTTTTATATCTACTTAAGATTTATGATACCCGCTATTAATACATTTGACCATATAAATACTATCACTGAGCTAAAATTATACAAAAGATGTAAATTGAAAATCGGAACTCGAAAAATATTGTATTTATATTTTATTTATAAAAACTCAACAGTTTAGTCATTTTTCTGTACGATGTTTTATAAGAGTATGTTTGTATACATATTTATCTTGCCCTTTAACTCCAATGCCAATGGAAATCCTTAGTATGTTGATTGCAGAGTTGTTAAACTTCTTATTTGGCGGCCCATAGTGATATGGATTGATTGCTGAAGAAACTGTAGTGTGCCCGGATTGGATAGTTGATTGTAGAAATGGATGTTTTGTATGTTGATTGAAGAGATCGATCGATCCATTTGTTAGTTGATTGCAGTTTTAGTAAAAGATTTATTTCACACAACCATATAACACATAAAAGAATAAAAATTGGCAATAAAGCAAAAAACAAAACGGTTTGCAACTTTGCTAAAAGGAAAACGGTTCTAACAGTAGAATGGTGAGCTATTTAATTTTTTTCGGTTTTGAATTAAGATATAGTTTGCAACTATATTTGCTATATTGATTTTAATTGTATGGAAATGATGTACTTAATAAACTTTATAATTACATTAATTTAACTTTATTGAAAACATAATTTGTTGTGTAATTACGGTAAAAATTATCATCCACATTGCCTTGTCGTACTGCGCAGCTCACCCCCGTCATATATATTCAGATTGTGTTGACGGGAGTATTCGTTTACGACATGTTGGCCTAAAATATTTTTATTATTGTAATTCGATTGAACAATAATAAATACGTACTTATCATGGTAAATTATGTCAATTTAAGAATATACGATATATACACGTCTTTGTAACGGAAATGGTAAAATTCACACTTACCTTCCTCAATGCGTCTTGAAGCCTCTTCAATATCTGCCCCAGCATCTTTTAATATCACATACATTAATGGCATCATCTCCCATGGATATCGAAATTTCTCCAATAGTTTTTGACAATGTTCTAAAAAGACATCTTGAGCTGGAATTAAACAAAATTGAAAACAAAATAAAGAAGTGATAGTTCAGTGTAATTGAGTAAAATGAAATAACAATAAAAACTGTGAATCCAATATTATTGTAAAATTGTAATTATAGACAGGTATATGTAAATTCCTTCAAATACCATATAATATTCACATTATTTTGGTACCGGTAGTAAGTTATTTCAAAATAATGGAGGTGCGGTCAAGCGATTAAAATTGACATATGTATTCCATATTGATAGGAAAAATTGTGATTTCGGAATTGCCCTATAGCCTGCAGAGGAAAGGTTATGGTGGCATCATTAAACATTTTTAACTAGAATACTTGTGGACAGTATACCAGTTTTTTTTATCTATGCCGTGTTAAAATGTAATCTGAAAAGGTAACTGTTATCATTAAAAAAATAATGTATATTTTAAGTGACTCTGTAAGACCACATTCCATAGGGTAATGCTCTTTCAGAGCACCAAACTTAAGTTCGTCAATAAGAAATAACAATAACCTAATTACAAACACATTTCTTTTAATTGGACCTATCAGATATTCTCATTCATTTTATGTATTCCTACCTAGTTTCTCTAAAATTCGCCATTGGTGATCGAGATACTAGTACTTTCGTTAAAATGTTACAAAGCATAGTATCTTTGGTTTGCCTGGTTTTTCTTTGGCCAAAAAAATTAAATTATATGCGTTTTATTTTTTCTTGAAAACCACATGTTTAGCAAAAACACCCTACAAAAAGATCTATTTGATACGAGTATAGCAGGTCTTTTGGGGATGGTAATTGGAGACTTATTACATCTTTAGTTTTTCTTATAATAGCAATCGAATAATCAAGTGGTGAAGGGGTGGGTCTTGAAGTATTTTACTACAATTGTCTTATATACATACATGTAGCTTATGTAGTGATGTGATAAACTCGGTTGTTCTACTGGCAAGTTAAAAATTCCGATTAACGTTTGTGGTAACATTCCGGTTTTTAGTGGGTCGCTTTCTTTATATTTCTGCATAAAACTTTCGCGAAAACAGCACAAACGTACACCTAACTTGATGTTTAAAAGAAATCTTAATCCCCTCAATCAAAATTCGTATATACCTATTAATGTTATTCAGCACATCTGTCAGAATTGCAAATCAATTTTGATTTTCAATTTTGTCCCAGGATCTGATTGGATTTTCATCATTTCGAACATACACAAAACAGAGTGCTGCTTAGTAAAGAGCTATAGCAAAAAATTGTAATTTGGAATAACAAGTAATAAGTGTCAAGTTGTTGGTATCAGAAATAAAGATAAGTGTATAGCATTAAATTGGGACTTTTATTTACCAATCAAGTAATCGAACTCAAGAGTGAGTTACAAGGGAGACGATTTATCGAGAAATCCGTAACAATTGGTGTCAGAAGTGGGATTGTCAAATAAATTCCCAAGGATTTTTTCGATGGAGAGCTAGCGCTGGTTTAAAACTGAGCCCAAAAGTAGCTTCCTTGAACTCGCGAAAAAGAGCAGAATACTTAAGTGGAATAAAGAACAGGAAGTGGCTTTTTAAATTTTGAAAAAACGGTTAAGCAGTGCAACAATGTTAGCATACCCGGTCCCAGGATCAGCGTTTATTTTGGATACAGATGCTAGTGGGTATGCAGTAGAAGGTGTTCTATCACAAGTCATTGACGGGAATGAGAAAGTGGTTGCGTATTACAGGTAGAAAATAAGCAAGCCAGAGAGAAATTGTTATGTAAATCAGGGGGAATTATTGGCGTTGGTAAAGTGCACCCAACATTTTCACAAGTACCTTTATGGCCAAAGTTTTCACGTAAGAATAGATCATGGAGCATTAAAATGGCTTCTATATCGCCAATTTAATGAAAGTAGTAATAACATTGAAATTAAAAAAAAAAAATTAAGTTTTAGTTTATGTTTCGTTTAAAAAAAATTTACATATTACATTAAACCAATACTTCTCGAAAATATTTTGAGATAGTATAATAACAGGAGATAGTATGTACATATGTATGTATATATAACGCGATACTTCAGATATTTCAAATATTCTTATTCCATAATAAGTTTAAATGCAGGCAAACTATCTGCTAGAAGCTAATAAACATCACAGGTTTTAGGTTTTTAACTAGACTTCCGTATAATAATAGTAACCTAATAATATTGCAATATGTATTTATGTACGTATGTATGTATGTATGTACACACGAAACGGTATTTTCATTGAAAAGGCAACGCTAATGTAAATATGGTTTAATTAATAATCCATTTTGGTTTTATTTTACCTAAAATGATATATGCATCTCCAACATATTAAATACTTAATGAAATAGCACTAGTTCCATGTACTTCATGCATATACGAGTTTATGTACTATGTATCAATACCGTTTTCAATGCAGGGCTGATGCAGCAGTAGTGGCCGTGTGCAATGACAGCAAGCTTAGTGTTGCTCAACCATAACCAGCAACAACTGCGTCGGGCTCGTCGCCGTAATCGGCAACTGGAGTCGGCAACACTCGCTGTATCTTTGTGAAAAGGCGGAGCTTCGTAGTCATTGGTTCAAGCAATTATTCCCTCCTTTTATGAAGCCGATTGCCAAACGCCGCTGCCGGCCGATGTCATTCCTGCTGTTGGCGTGTTTATGCTTTTCTGTTTTGCAGTTCTACATTTTTCCGTCGGCATCGTGCTTTTATTTCTGTCATAGCCGATTGTTCAGTTCCTTTTGCAGTTATTGCACACAATTGCTTACACGCTGTTTGTAATAGAAGCCGGTTTGAAGTCGTTTATTTGTTTTTGTGGTCGGCATACAAGAGTTTTCACCATGGTTGGACGGTTGTTCATTTCTTTGTTTGCTATTATGTTTATTGGAATGGTATCTACCCATGTATGCAATGGAAATACTACGAGTGTGGTGGAATGGCATGCGGCGGCCATACTCGTACTTAAGAAATTTTTATAAGCATCACAAAACTGCCCAATTAAGTTGTTTGATTAGTTGACTTAGTATTGCTTTACTATGAAAATGGCGTCCAAGCAATTATGCAATAAAATAAGCACTCAGCGAATAGTTTGGGTATACGTATATTAATATATTACAGGAATTATTTATATGTAGTTGCTTTGCTGGAGAATACATACATGTATATATTCTTTTGCTATGAAAACTTCAGAAAAATTTAGTAATTTAATGGAAGTATTAATACATACATACATATGCATATCAATTTATAAATAAATAACATAAGTTAGTAAATTTTTGAAGGTAATTTATGTATTTTGTATTTACTTTTGCATTTTGTCTAATCTAGAATTATCCGAGTAAGTTGTCGAAACACAAACATGTCTGATAATTTAACTAAGAAGTTTGCAAGCTGTGATATATTTTTATACTATCGCAACCTGTTGCTACATAGTATAATAGTTTTGTTCACCTAACTGTTGTTTGTCTCACCTAAATCTAATCGAGTAAAATATAGGGCTATGTATACATAAATGATCAGGATGAAGAGACGAGTTGAAATCCGGGTGTCTGTCTGTCCGTCCGTCCGTCTATCCGTCCGTCTGTGCAAGCTGTAACTTGAGTAAAATTGAGATATCTTTTTAAAAATAGACAGTAGGCGTGGCACCGCCCACTTTTAGGTGAAAACCCATATCTTGGGATCTGCTTTATCGATTTCAACCAAATTCGGTACATAACATCTTCTCCGATTTCTATGTTATAGTGGGAAAATGGGCGAAATCGGTTTAAACCACGCCTATTTCCCATATAACACCATTTAGAAAACTGTTCAAGCCCCTAGGTACCGAATATGTGCACCCCACTACCTATGTATAGTTGACTTTTTACCGAAAATATCGGGCAGTGTGTGGGATATATAATTGAAATTCAAAGAGGACAATTTTCTGATAATAGATCTAAATAATAAATATATATTCTAATATAAAGATTTTTGAACTTCCGGGTGACTTTATACCGCATATATCGACCAGTATGTGAGTTATCTCAATGAAAATGAAAGCGTGTGCGTGTTTTACTCATAACAAGGTACTTTGTGCCTAAAATGGATCTAATCGGGTACAAGTTTTACCTAGCCCCCATGTAGCTAATATCAGGATTTTCGAACATTAATCTGACTTTACTCCATATGATTGGTAATAGTATGTGCGGTGAGGTGGGAGCATTTTATTAGTCTGTGACATGTTAGTAGTATGTGGTATTGGCAAAAATTGATTAGGTTAATATTACCCTAAACTTCCATATACTACTTATAATGCTTTTAGTTATTCTAACCAGTTTTATGCCGAATATGTCGGTCAGTGAGTATTAATATTTTTTTTCTCAAACGAGTATACCATTTGACTTTGCGGTTACATCCGAACTTAGCCCTTCCTTACTTGTTATATTATATAATTTTTCATTCGCATGTGAAACATATGTCTTAGCACAAAATATATTTATAATAATATTATAGCTTTCAAATTTTTATTACAGATTTATTAAGCCTTTAGCTATAACTCTGAATTTTTTTAATTAAAAATATTTTGTTAATTGGTACCCATGTAGACAAATGGCGTCCATGATTCCAGCCGACTGGCTAACCTAAAATCACAAAAACAAATTGCATATTAATCTGTAGGTAACTCCGGAACTCACTTTTTTGTGAAAAGAATATTTTTCAAAAATCCTAGTTCGGGCGATAGCCACATGTGTGATGAAATTTTAAAGCAATCGATGGAACCGATTTGAGAAAATCCGGACATCAGTTTAAAAAATGTAGTTTTGAGAAAAATACGTTTGAAAATTCAGGTGTTAGGCCACGTGCTCTAAAGACCTTACTTTCGCACTCCTGTAAAATTCCAACTAAATTTAATTTCGGAAAATTACTTTACCAGCACATTCTATGAATACTCCAGATTGGATCTATGCACAAAAAAAATTGATTTTTTGAAACCGTCACTCGGGATGACCCCCATAAAGTTAGCTGCAAAGTTCC